AAAACCGAGTTGACAACATAGAGCAGAGGATGAATCAATTTGAATTGACGATGGAGCAGATTCGACAGCTGGTACTGGAACAACAGGCAAGACCGCAGGTGACGGTGGATCAACTTCGCCAGTTGATGCAAGAGAGACCCGTTCAGAATCGTGGGAGAAACGGAACACTACATGGTGGAGAGCCCGACTACGAAGAAGAAGAAGGAAGTGAAAGGAGTGTTATTTCGCGAGAATCTAGACCTAGACACCGCCGTCACGGTGGTGGAAATGGATCTCGTTTCCTCGGAAGCAGACGTCGGTTAGAAATACCGATTTTCAGAGGCGATGACGCGTATGGATGGCTCGTTCGCGTCGAAAGATATTTCCATCTCAATGGGGTAAGGGTACGTGACAAGCTGGATGCGGTGGTGCTAGCTATGGAGGAAAAAGCTTTGAATTGGTATCTATGATGGGAGGAGCAAGCACCTTTGAAGACCTGGGAGGAATTTAAGGTGGTTGTCATGCAAAGGTTTCAACCGGGTTTACTACACAACCCGATGGGACCTTTACTTAGTTTGAAACAAAAAGGGTCAGTGGTGGAGTATATGGAGAAGTTTGAAATGCTGGTAGCTCCACTAAGAAGAGAAGAGAGAATCATGTTGGATTCGATTTTCATGAATGGGCTGAAAGAAGAAATTCAGGCTGAGTTGAAGCTTCACGAAAGCCAAAGTTTGGCTGATCTTATGGACAAGGCGTTATTGATTGAAGAGAAGAATGAAGTGTTAACTAAGAAGGGTGGGTCATGGAGAGATAGAAGTGGAACGATGAGGATCAAGGATCCTGCAGAGTTTGGAGGGTATGAAAAAGGAAGGTGAAAGAGCCAGTGGTGGAGGAAATGAGAAGTATAAGGGGAGGAGACTGAATCCTGCAGAATTGGAGGAAAGAAGCAAGAGGGGATTATGCTTCAAGTGTGGAGACAAGTGGAATAGAGAGCACATTTGCAAACTCAAGCATATGAGCTTGAAATTATGTGAAAATAGTAGTGAGGAGGAAGAGGAAACAGGGGGAATAGGGATCCAAACAGAGGAACTGGTGGAAGCAGTGGAGGAAAACATTGCAATTGTCCATGCAAAGTAGAGAGGGGTTTACTTCTAATAAGTCCTTCAAGGTATGGGTGAAGTGAATGATAAAGAATTGATGACATTGATAGATTCAGGAGCAACAAGTAATTTTATTGATGCTAATTTGGTGGAAAAAGTGGGGTTGGAGCTGATAGAAACTCCTCCTTATGTGATTGAGGTGGGAAATGGAGAAAAAGTTAAATATCAGGGAATTTGTGAAGGGTTAAGATTTCAAATGCAAGGGGTGGAATTTAACCAAAATTTCTTTTTAATGGAGCTAGGTGGCACTGATATGGTGCTTGGGATGGACTGGTTGGCTAGCTTAGGCAACATAGAAGCAAATTTTGGGGAACTGTGTTTGAAATGGGAATGGGGAGGACAGAAGCACAACATACAAGGTGACCCTGCCCTATGCAATCAACAAGCTTCTATGAAAGCCGTGATAAAGGCTCTGAATGATGAAGGAGTGGGATTTTATGTGCAATCAATGAAGACTGCTACAACAGGTGACTGCACTGAGTTAGCAGAATGGGACGGGATATTACATAAATTTGAGGAGGTATTTAATCTACCTGCAGACTTCCCCCTAGGAGAGAACATGATCATGCAATCCTTTGGAAACCTGATGCTGCAATTCCAAATTTGATGCTGCAATTCCAAATTTAAGGCCTTATAGATACCCTTTCTACCAAAAAAATGAAATAGAGAAGATTGTAGGGGAGATGTTACAGGCAGGAATTATAAGGCATAGTACTAGCCCTTTCTCAAGTCCAGTTTTGCTAGTAAAAAAGAAAGATGGAGGATGGAGGATGGAGGTTTTGCACTGATTACAGGGCTTTAGACAAGGTGACCATACCTAATAAATTCCCTATACCTGTCATTGAGGAATTATTAGATGAGTTAGGAGGGGCTGTCATTTTTTCTAAGTTGGATCTGAAATCAGGTTATTATCAGATTAGGATGAATGAGGAAGATATAGCTAAGACTGCCTTTAGAACTCATGAAGGACATTATGAATACCTAGTAATGCCCTTCGGACTTACAAACGCTCCCTCAACCTTCCAGACACTTATGAATGAAGTGTTAAGGCCCTTTTCAAGAAAATTCCGCCTAGTATTTTTTTATAACATTCTCATCTATAGTAAGAGTAAGCAGGAGCATAAATAGCATTTGACAGTGGTTTTCCAAGTGCTGATGGATAGGAAACTATTTGCCAATAGAAAGAAATGCACCTTTGGCCAAGGAGAAGTAGAGTATTTGGGACACCTGATTTCTGGGCAGGGGGTATCAGCAGACCCCAAGAAAATAGCAGATATGCTTAACTGGCCTGTTCCAAAAAATTTAAAAGGGTTAAGGGGATTTCTGGGCTTAATAGGCTGCTATAGAAAATTTGTGCAAAACTATGGGAAAATTGCTTGGCCTCTCACTCAGTTACTTAAGAAGGATAGTTTTTTGTGGAGTCCTGAAGCACAATTGTCATTTGAAGAATTGAAGGCAGCAATGACCACTATTCCAGTTTTGGCTATGCCCAACTTTGAAAAAGAGTTTGTGCTCGAAACAGATGCCTCAAGGAAGGGAATAGGAGCTGTGTTGATGCAAGAGGGAAGACCTATTTCTTACATGAGCCAAACTTTATCTGATAAGGCTCAGCAGAAATCAGTTTATGAAAGGGAGTTAATGGCCATTGTAATGGCTATTCAGAAGTGGAGATATCTGTTAGGCAGACATTTCAAGGTTCACACTGACCAAAAGAGCCTAAAATTCATTACTGAGCAGAGAATCATGGGAGAGGAACAACAAAAATGGCTGTCCAAACTACTAGGGTATGATTTTGAAGTGAAGTATAAACCAGGAAAGGATAACAGTGCTGCAGATTCTCTATCTAGAAAATTGCAGTATGCTCACATAAGCACCATTCATATGAAGCGTGGGAAGGATTAGAGGAAGAAATACAGAAAGATACAAAACTGACCCTGATAATACAAGCTCTAGTCACAGATCCTAATAGCCATAAGGGATTTCAATTAAAAGGGGGAAGATTGTATCATGAGGGGAGGATAGTAGTTCCTAAAGGATCACCAAGAATTGCTTGGATTCTTCATGAATTCCATGATACAGCTGTGGGAGGACATTCTGGGTATCTCAGAACTTATAAGAGAATCGCTAGTGTGGTTAATTGGGAGGGCATGAGGAAGAAAATTCAAGAGTATGTACAGGCCTGTGAAGTGTGTCAGAGGAACAAGTATCAAACTTTGACACCTGGAGGGTTACTTCAACCTCTACCCATTCCAAAACAGACATGAAGTGACATATCCATGGATTTCATTGGGGGACTACCTAAGGTACAAGGGGTGGATACAGTAATGGTGGTAGTGGATAGACTCACGAAGTATGCTCATATTTTCCCTATCACTCATCCTTACACAGCCAAAAGCATTGCAGAAATTTTCATTCAGGAGGTTGTTAAATATCATGGATTCCCTAGCTCTATAGTGTCTGACAGGGACAAAGTATTTTTAAGCTATTTTTGGGCAGAATTGTTTAAGCAGGCAGGAACTAAACTAAAATACAGCAGTGCTTATCATCCTCAATCTGATGGCCAGACAGAGGTGGTTAATAGGTGTTTGGAGACCTATTTGAGGTGCGTTACAGGGCTTAAACCCAAGCAGTGGCCTAAGTGGTTGGCTTGAGCAGAATATTGGTACAACACCAATTACCATGCTTCATTGAAGACTACTCCTTTTGAGGCCTTATATGGGAGAGCCCCTCCTGTTCTAATTAGAGGAGACCATCCCTTGTCAGTTGTAGATGAAGTGAATAAATTGACAGCCGAGCGAAATTTGATGATCAAAGAGCTACAAGATCAGTTGCTTGGGGCTCAAGATTTGATGAGGAGCCAAGCTAACAAGCACAGAAGAGAGGTGGAATACGAGATAGGAGATTTGGTGTTTTTAAGGATCCAGCCATACAAAATGAAAAAACTAGCAAGAAGGCTAGACCAAAAACTGAGTCCAAGATATTATGGACCCTATGAAGTCATTCAAAGAATTGGAGTTGTGGCTTATAAACTCAAACTGCCCAATGATACTAAGGTGCATCCTATCTTCCATGCATTATTATTGAAGAAAGCTGTGACTCCTTCTGTGGAGCCTCAACCCCTGCCAGATTGTATGAATGAAGAGTGGCATTTAGAACCCACTCCAGAGAAGGTAATGGATTCTAGAAGAAATGTACAAGGGGAAGTAGAGGTCTTGGTGAAATGGAAAAATCTTCCTGAATTTGAGAATTCATGGGAATTGATGGACAACATGAAAGAGGAATTTCCAGCATTTCTCCTTGAGGTCAAGGAGAGTTTTGAAGAGGGAAGAGTTGGTAGATATGGAATATTCTATGAAAGGACACGTAAGAAAGGATCAGAGAGAGTATAGGATACAATTAGGTTAGTGCTGCACATGGCCTGGCCAGGTGACAGCAGCTGGTTGGTGGGAACACATAGGAATGAGAGAATAAATGATTGGGGAGGATCTATTGTTAGATTGTGCAGAATTTGAGTGGATTCATTCTCTAAGGAGAGATCAGGCCTCTCGAATAGCCTCTATACTTTTTTCCACTTTCTTTATTTTCTGCAAACCTTGTACTACTAGATCCCATATGAACTCTAGTACTTCAATAAAAATCATTACTCTTCTTCTGATTTCTGTGTACTTGTTTTCTGTTTGCCTTGGATATTAAATTGATCTTATCATCCTGATGTAAAAAAATTGATTCAGCATGCTACCTAAATTTCATTTTCTACAAATTAGGTAACATGATAATCAATACACAAATTCTATAGTCAATAGCTAATAATCCGAAAGTGATTCAGAAACACATACATATATTCCATAAGGCCAATTCAATTCAGCGCCTGTTTAAGTTTCCAATATTTGAAAACCGAGGAACTACAACAGGTACCCCACGAGCCTTTTCGAGAGCAAAATTTATCCTCAATGGTCTACCTAACAATGCCTGCAAAGAAAACATCACAGTTATCATAAAGAACAAACTTCAATAAACTGATTAAAAAAAATAGTTTGTTAATTTGTTGTAACCTTTCCGTCCATTGCATCTTTAGCGGACTTTGCATCATCTTCGTTTGAAAAGATAACAAACCCAAAGCCTCTAGCTCTACCACTGTCTTTATCATAAACTATCCTCACTGCAACAATAAAAAAAAAAGGACGATGTTGAAGAATGTTAAGAAGAAGTAAGTTAGACATAACGTCGAACACATAGAAGGCTGAAATGAAATGACCTTCGGTGACTTCGCCGAAAGAAGAGAAAGCGTCTTTGAGGGATTTTTCATCTACGGACCATGATAGACCTCCTACGAAGAGCTTGTTAGAGGAAGGTGGTGTTGATGATGGTGAAGAAGTTGAAGAAGAAGAAGAGTTGAAAAATCGGCATTGAGAGTGAGAAGGATGCGGCTGGTTTGTGAAAATGGTTGTAGCATGAAACGAGGGAGAATAGTTGATCGTATGGTTTCGGCAGCGCGAGGACAATGATATCAACCTCGCCCCTCTCATCCAGCTTCTTACCATTTCTCTTGTTTTTTTCTTCTATGTAGAACTTGTCTAAAGATAATTTCTAATGCTAAACATTGATATATTATAATAATAAATCTTTATGGGGCACCAATAATGTGGTGCTAAATGGTGTTTTAGGGTGATAACTTTCTCACGCACACCCTTGAGACTCTTGCTATGTGAGGAAGAACATAGTTGTACAGAGAGTGTGTTGGGATAACATTTTTCGGACAAACCTTTGAAAATATGAGACATAACAAATAAAATGGTATAAAAGTTGTGTGTGGATGATGGGTTATGGACACACCTATGAGACAATTACCATTTGAGTTATAATCAATAATGTACTTATAAAGAGTTTGGAGGAATTAAATATATCTTTTGGGTACGAAAAACTCTTAGCTAACACAATCATTAGAAATAGTTTTATATATAATCAATTAAATTTTTTTAATTAATTAAAAAATAAATATAATATTTTCTCTCACCTTCATAATCACAACCACCCATAAATTTAATTTTTTTAAAAAATTTAAATAAATTTAAAATTTTCTCTATTTTTATTGGTTGTTTTTTAAGAATGTTAATTTATGATTGTTTCCATGCAAGAATTCCTCTTCGAGTACTGTTATTTGTCTCATAATCAATAATATGATAAATTTCAAAGTGGCCAAAAATGTTTAGTGAGAAAAGGTCCAACTTCTCTCTAAAATAAAACTAGAAAACACCTTTTTAGATTAGAGTTAGTACTCAAACCCTACACCACAACAAATTTTATGTCTATCAAGCATTACAACTTAAGAAATGGACCATCGGAATGGAAACATGTTAGAGGTAGGAGACACTAGAAGGCTGGGAAGTAGGACTGGGAAGCTAGTAAAGGAAGAAGGAGTGACAATGCAGAGGCTTACAAAACGATGACGTTTTTCTTTACAAAAATACCGGAGGACTTCGGCGCAAAGGAAATGTATGCAATCTTCAAGGAAAATGGTGAGATTGACGAAGTTATCATTCCACCAAAAAGAGACAAGAGGGGGAAACGATTTGGCTTCGTGAGGTTTTTCAACGTTGCAGATGAGAGATTGATGGTCATTAAGCTGGACAACATTATCATAGGTACAAAGAAAATTCATGCAAATCTACCGCGCTTTAACCGAGATTCTGGACGTCGTTTGGACAAAGGTAAGGAGCAGCTTGGACACGAGATCAAAGGAGTATCAGCAGGGAATACTGAGCAGAAAGGGGGGAATAACCAAAGAACGTATGGAGGGAATGCGAAAACATATGCTCGGGTTGTGAATAATAATCAACCAAAAAGGCGGAGGGTAGATGTTTTGGAGTAGGCAAAAAAGATTCGTTTTGCACATTTGAAATACAACTTGGAAAATACTGATTTGGAGAGATTTCATAAAGCTTACGTTGGGTGGTGGAGAATCCAGGGGTAACATATAACATGCAGGAATATGTTAACATGGAAGGTTATTTCGGTGTTAAGGTCACGCCAATGGACGTAAATTTATGTTTACTTAAGGAAAGCAAAGAAGGTGAGCTAGCAGCTTTGATTGAGGAAGCCTCAGATTGGATCAATTAGTGGTTTTAAGAAATAAGGTTGTGGCATCCCCAGGATATTGACAATGAAAGATTAACCTGGTTGAGAGTGTTCGATTTACCTTGTCATGCTTGGAATCCAAAAGTTTTTTACTTCATGACAAAACCGGTAGGGCATTGTGTTTGTTCTGATGAAGAAACATCCAAACACAAAAACCTGGACGTGGCTAGAATTCTTATCAGAACGAAATACTTTTGGTTTTGAATGAAACATACAACATTTTTATCAATGATAATGTATTTATAATCAAGGTTGTTAAGGATGTGCATGGCCCTATAAGAATAGCGGTGAACTTCCATGGAAACAAGAAGAAAAAAAGTAGATGAAGAATTTGTGGAAAGCTCTGATGATGATGGCAGCGGTGACTGGAACCCTTCTGAAAAGTTGTGGGATGAATCTATTGTTCAGGAGTCTCAATCAAATACCACCGAGACGGTGCATAGGAAACGTATGGAGGTTGAAGAAACATTTAATGCGAAAGCGAGAATGGAGGCGGCCGCTCAGGAGAAAGTAGTAGGGAATTATGCACAGACATTGGAAAAGAAGAATCAATTTTCTGACTTTATTGGTTTCGAGGAAACTAATAATAACCCTCAGTTGGAAATATTACCTGACGAGTATGGTGGAGAATTCAAACTAGGTGAATGGGAAAATGGAAAAAACTGTGGTGTGGGCCAAAAAGCATTATTAGATGTGGGTGTGGATTATTGTGCCAAAAATAAAACTAAGGTCAAAAGGCCCAATTTCTCAAGGCAACAAAAGCCCACAGTAACAGGGTTTTTTTGACAAAGCGGCAACATAAGATACGAGTATTTCTCATAACCTTATCAACAAAAGTGAAACTTGAGAGTCTGAGAACCGAGAGGGAAATGAAAATTCTCTTGACTTTAAAATCTTGTAATCATATTTCGTTGTTCTTAACAGTTATAAGAACAAAGGGAATTCTAATGGTGCTTCTGGTAACTGGGATCGCAACATTCCTTCTTCTTCAAAAGGGGGTTCTTTTTCTTCATGTGGCGTACCCTCACAATCTTCAGAGGCTTCAAGTTTATGCAGTAAATCTCAAAAGGGAACCAAGTCTCCTAAAGGGAATTAAGATTCAAAGCAGAAAAAGGAGGGTGATATGGTGAGCAAGGTGTGGCGGGAACTATCACAATTAGGAATATCTGGAGGCGGGAAAGATAACATGTTTGTGGATGAAATTAGGGAAATAGAGAGTAGAGATGTAGAAGGCATGAGGGAGAGGATGGTGAAAAAATCAATGTTGAAATGAATATCATGTCATCCAACATGCGTGGGTGTGGTATATCGATGAAAAGAAGGAGATTAAAGCAAATGATTAATAAAGGACATGAAAATATGGTCTTCATTCAAAAAACAAAAACTATGAATGTGAACAATCTGTTTGTCTCAAGCTTATGAGGCAACGAACTATTGGAATGGACAACGAAAGACTCTGACGGTGCATCAGGGGGGATTCTCACAATTTGGAAGAAGGATGTTTGTTATAGACTGGTCTAATAACTAGAATTGGCCTAATCTGCTTCTACCTTAGCACGGCCCAATAACACTGACCTAGCATCCCTGGCCGACCACGCCCCAAGAAGCGACATCAGTGATGCCCGGTACGCACACCTGACCAAGCCAGCAGCTACCTCTCTGTCTAGCCGACACGAGTTGAGCAGATAACCACGAAATGTCCAGAACGCTGCTCTTCCCGTAATCTGCCTCCTCCTCGGAACAAACGGCTAGTTACGAGCACGTCTTCCCATTTTTACTGAATCCTAACAGTTACCTATTTTTGAGAACCGACATTCTAGGCCCAAAAATAGGAACCAATGGCCAAGCGTTGGGGGTATTATATAAACTTTCACACATATGAGGGCCAGGTATCCAATATTTAAACCTTAAACCTTAATATTTTGCTCGTATCTCTTTGCACCCATTCTTACTTGATTGTCAGAGTGTCTTGCATGTACAACCCCCCTTTTCTCCTCAACTTTCCAACAAGCCATATATCATCCTTCGGCCCATTTGCAGGTTCTGATCAACCAGTAAGATCAATGTCATTTCTCCCTTATTCAGTTTTAGAACAGAAGGTTCAGTGGGTCTCTGTGCGTTATACAATGGGTAGGTCTGTTAATTCATAAACATTTATTCATCCCGTTTTCCAAATAAGAAAAGAAAATTGTGATCATAATTAGTGTTGTTGAAAAGTAAGTTTGAGGAGGGCGGGTGGTGTTTAGGGCGGAGATTTTAACACCACCATAGATAAGAAGGAAATGATTAGGAAGAACATTGATCTCAGACATACGAATACGACTAATTTCAATGATTTTATTGATCTCATGGAGCTAACTGATATACCTTCAATTGGAGGTAGATTCACATGGTCTAACAAAGAGGGTAGTGCAAGAAGTAGACTGGATAGATTTCTCTTATTTGAAGCTTTGATTGACAATTGGAAGATTGTTGATCATTTGGTGGGTGAGAAGGATATATCAAATTATTCACCTATCTGGTTAAAATCTAATGAGGTCAATTTGGGTCCAAAGCCCTTTAAAGTCAACAGTTGCTGGTTTGAACATAAGGATTTCTTGTGTTTTGTGGAGGAGTCGTGGAAAAAAAGTTATGTGTTGAAGGCAAACAAGCTTTTGTGATGGAGGAGAAACTCAAACTTCTTAGGAACATTTTGAGTACTTTGAATCAGGAAATTTTAGTTGGCTAAACCTAAAAGTGGAGGAGGCTTCTAGAAAAATAAAAAGTGAAGACTTGATACCAATCAACAATGATGATCTCAACAATCATTGGCGTTTCGAAACTAGGAAGACGACTTCAGCAGAATTTTAGAGGCATTCGTGTCTCAAAGAGAATCTTTTGAGACAAAAATCATGACAAAACTGGTTAAGGGAGGGTGATAAATACACCAAATACTTCCATGTGGTAATCAAAGATAGGAGGAGGAGAAACACCATAGTCTCGGTCCAAAACAATGAAGGAATAAAAGTTGAAGATGTTGACAGGATTCATAGCGAGATTTTGAGAGTTTTTAAAAATAGATTTTTGGAACCTATCAAGGTGAGATCTTTATTCAGTGGGCTGGAGGTTAAAAGCATTTCATCAGAAGATAATCTTTTTATAGTTTCTGAATTCACCCGTGAGGATATCAGGGCGGCTGTGTGGGAATCAAATGGTGAGAAAAGCCCCAGACTTGACGGGTTCAATTTCAGGTTCTTACATGAATGTTAATGCTTCCTAGAGGAAGATATTATCAAGTTTGTTTTTTAATTACATAAGACAAATACGTTACCAAAATCAATAATTGTTTCTTTCTTAGCTTTAATTCCTAAAAACTTCAATCCTCGGGGTCAAAATGAGTATCAGCCAATCTGTCTTGTGGGTTGTTTATACAAGATTCTTTCCAAAATTTTGGCAAACAGAACTAAGAAGGTTTTGTCAAAAGTAATATCCCTTTCTCAATCTGCTTTCGTACCTCGCAGACAAATTTTGGATGGGTTCTCGCGTTAAATGAAATCATTGATCATGCAAGGAAGGAAAAGAAATAGTGCTTCATTTTCAAGGCAGATTCTAACAAGCGTATGATTGCGTGAATTGGAATTTTTTGAGAAGCTTATTTCAGAAATTTGGTTTTGGTAATAAATGGTGCAGGTGGACGGAAGCATGTATATTTAAAATATCTATGTCAATACTTGTCAATGGGAGTCCAACACAAGATTTTTAGGTAGAGAGGGGCCTTAAACAGGGTGACCCTTTGTCACCTTTTCTTTTCACTTTGGTGGCGGAAATTTTGGCAGGGTTGGTTAACAAGGCAGCTGAGATAGGTTCTTTTAAGGGATACAAAATAAGCAACAATCTTGATGTCAAAATTCTGCAATTTGCAGACGATACAGTAATTTTGGGGAGCGGCTACTAGAACAATTTAAGGTGCATTAAGTCAATTTTTAGGGGTTTCGAACTCATATCAAGCTTGAAGATCAACTTATTCAAGAGTAAGATCTTTGGGGTGAATATAAAGGAAGATTTCATGGATAGTGCATCTTAATTTCTTTGTTGCTGCAGGGATGTATTACTGTTTAAATTCCTGGGCATTTCAGTGGGATTAAACCGAAGGAGATGTGAGTCTTGGAACCCAAAGTTATAAAGTCTCAAGAAGAAACTGACAACCTGGAAGGCGCGGTTTCTATCCATATGAGGAAGGGTCACTCTCTTGAATTCTATATTATCCAGCATTCCTATCTACATCATGTATTTCTATAGAGTTTCGATCAAGATTATTGTAACACCCTCTCTAAAATCCCGCACAAATATATAATATAATTAGAGTAAATTAGCATGCATATCAAAAGAGGGTGTCACATGTAACTAAAAACTAACACAAATACACCGGTCATGCTCATAACACACATTCAAAATCATGTTCCATAGATGTATGCATATCACAACGGAATTATAATGATATCAATAATTGAAATCCCATAATGATAATTATATATTAAAACATTAGGTACTAATCATCACATAATCTCAATACATCATAAATAAAGAGAGTATAACAAACATCTCTCAAAATAAATATGAGTTCAAACGTTCCCCTGTGTTACATAGACCAGAGCATGACTCACTATCTAATAAGCAGATAAACAAGGAACTATCTCCTCTGACTAATCCTAGTGATAAGTACCACTATCTTCAGTTCCTGAGCAATGTCGTATAAAACATCATTCTAACAGAAGAGTGAGAATTAACATCATTATAGAAATATATAATAATAAGTAATGTATCACATACAAGCAACCATTGAATTCATCACACTTCACACACACACACACACACACACACACACACACACACACACACACACACACATATATATATATATATATATATATATATATATATATATATATATATATATATATATATATATATATATATATATATATATATATATATATATATATATATATATATATATATATAAAATATTGCTCAACAATTCATGATTCAAAGATAGTCAATCATAATTACCACAAATTTAATATTCACATAACATTCACGCCAAGGTTGTAACGCCCCGGATTAAATAAAGTATTTATTTAATTAATTTAAATTATGGAGTTTGATGGTGATATGCGATTTTGATTATTTTGGTGAGAAATTATGATTTATGTGACGTTTAGAGGTGTTTTGAGAATTATGGGATAATTTAGAATAGTTATAAGAATTAAGTTAGAATTATTTACTTAGAGAAAATAGAGTAATATTGGAATTGGAGACAGAAAGGGCATATTGGTCATTAGAGAATAATTAGTGAGGAAAATAATGGAAAACCATATTAGAGGTCTAAGGGTTACATAAGGAAAGAATAGTTTTTTCAAATCATTATGTGCATTCGTGTTGGAAAAGAGGCAAAGAGAAAAGGCAAATAGATAGGGCTTTGAGGAGAACATAAAAGGACCAGAAGGACGCAAAGAGAATTAAATAATAAGCAATAATCTAAGGTAAGGAGAGTCTGTCATGATTATTATAATTGGTCTAAGTGTTAGATAATTGTAGGAATTGTGTTTGGGGTTTTCGGTTCATGATAATGCGTTGCTGTGATAAGAATTGATGAATTGGTAGTATGATGTTGCAACAGATTGATAACCCTGATGAGTAAATACGTGTTATACGTTGTTATAAATAATATACAATCCTAGGATTTCAAATTCTAAGACTGAGGATTTTTACATAATCAAATTCTGAGGTCTGGAAGGCCTTCAAATATGGGAAAAAATTGAATTGCAGCGTTCCTACTATGTTGGTCGCCAGAACCTTGTGACGTGCGCCACAATGAATATTTAGGGTGTGGAGGTCGTCACGGCATGTGTTCCAGTTGGCATAGGGTGTTCCGGTCTCCATGGAAAGTGTGTCGGTCGCCATAGGAGTGTGGAGGGCGTGACGGGGGCCATGGAGATGTGGCGCTCGCCACAACAGTTAGCAGAAAACAGTTTTTCTTAAAATGGTCATAACTTTTGAACCAGGAGTCTGTTTTAGGTGTCGTTTGAAGCATTAGAAGGCTAACACAATGATCTA